GGGGGCAGCGCTGGGCCACGGCCGGTCCTGCCGCCCGCTCCCGGAGGAACGGAAAGGGGCAGGCTCTGGGATTAGCAGGTTAATTTCCTGGTGAAACCAGGAGATGGTCTTGTGCTCAGCAGCACCTCGAATTACATTTTTGTTGAATTTCCAGAAGCCCCAGCCAGCACCAGACAACTTTTAAGCTGCCAGTTTATTATGCAAATTAATCACTACAGTGTGTAAGCAGGGGTGGAAAATGTCACCAGACATTGTCTTTTGCATAGTAGAGCAAGGAGTCTGACCTAAATCAGCTCTTCCCACAGATGTAGGAGCAATAGCCAAGATCTAGAGATTGGGAAAGCCCAGCAGCCTCTGTTACCATAACCATTCTGCTCTCCGCCCTTCCGCTCCCTTCCCTGTGCTCCAGTAGCCGCACAGGACAAATGGGAGACTGCAAAGAGGAACCAAAAGAACAGCCTGAAACAGCCACTGTAAACCTTAAACCTCTATTACAAGAAATGTGGTGCTGGATGGTAATTTTGAGATACAAAAGCCCTGGGTTTCATCTGGGTTTTGCTCGCTGGAGATACACTGACATTGTGGCCTAAACCTGTGCTGTGGTTTCCGAGCAGCAGAGCAGCAGGCTGGCCAAGGCTGCCCTGTATTGGGGAAGGGGCTGTCCTTTCAGCCAGGCTTTTTCATCCAGTCCCACACCCACTGCCCAGGGCTGGGAAGCAAAGCCCCTCTGCCACCACTGCCCTCCAGCAGCACCTGGGCTCTCTCCCCTCCCCACCAGCTGCATTCAGAACACCGCATCACTGACACACCAACTTCTAAAGAAAAGAATGCAAAAATATAGACAAGAATGCCAGAGGCAGCAGAGCTTGTGTTTGCAGGACAGGCAGCACGTTGACACGGGTGATTTTTGCTCAACAAGTTACATACCAGCTCCCTGTGCCACAGTGAAGGGCTGAGGGAGCATGAGGGGTGGTTCACATTACAGATTCATGCTCACATCTCTGCTCTACCTTTAGCAGTAGAGAATCACAGATGTGATACAGAGTCATTGAAAACATAAGATACTTTTGGATTAATCCCATTTTGCTGCCTAAGAATTGGAGATGAAACATTAGTGTTACTCATCTTACCTACCAAGGTGAGATATTTCAATACCAGAGCAGTTTTAAACTAACAAGAGGGTACTCACAAAGGCTGTGCTGCAAGCAGATTATTAACTAGAGCAGACCCTGTGCCTTCAGTCAAGGCAGAAATTTCTGGTTTTTAAGCAGGCAACACTCTCTTGTTTCTGCTTCCAAGATCACTCATTCCAGCACCTGTGGGCCCAGGAGCAAAGAGGCAGACACTGCAGCAGCTCTCAGAAACCATAATTAGTTCAGAAGTCTGACAGGCCTACAGGTTTTTGGGAAGGCAGGGAAGAATACATGTTTGTAACTTTCTCAGTGCATAGATGAAGTGCTTTTCCTTTGGATACATTGTGGGAGTCTTGATTACAAGTATTTAAAATTCTCTGAAATTTAAAACACCAAACAGGAGCCAGGCCTTGCCAGCCCTAGGATGGTGCAGGGTTTAGAGTGGAGCTCAAGGATGGGAGGTTGGGGTCATCAGCAGCTCAAAGACAGGAGCAGGAGCCCCTGGGCAGGGTGCCCCAGCAGGCACCTGCAGCCTCTTCCTGAAGCAGAGTGTGCAGGAACATTGTGCTGCAGACAAGACTGGACGGGGCCTGGAACAATGGAGGCTGGAGCCTGTCAGGAACTTGCAGCAGCTGCCCACTGTGCTCCATTCAGAGTTCTGGGGTCACCCCATGGGCAGGGGGCACCTGCACAGGGGGGACAGCAGCCACCTGCCACTGGGCCACCTTGTTCCCGGGACAGGGAGGTAAAAGAGGGTGTGCAATAGCAGCCGGGGCTGAAGTCAGAGAGTGACAGGGATCCTAACAAGCGCTGCAGGGCACCCAGATGGCTGATTACCCCCAGAAGGAAGCTGAGACCCTGTAGCTCAGCAGCAGGACCACCCCATAAGCCATGAGCTTCAAGAGCGGGGCCAGAGTCATCTGCCCAGCACTATTGACATGGACTTTGCCATCCAGTTTCAGACAGCTGGCTTTGGGGGAAGCTGGGCAGCATTCCTGGTAACAGGCAGCCTTCACCCCACTGGCACAGACAGGTTTGGCAACCTTGCAGGCTCTGCTGCACCCTGCCATGTAATTCAAGCCAGTCTTCTTCATCTGGAAGGAGGAAAGAGACATTAGTTGGGGGGGGTGCTGCCAAGCTTTTAGTATTGAAGTTGCAGGGATGCACCAAGGCACATCTCAGCTCATGAGCTGTCCTACTTTTTAGCCCCAAGGCTGTACCTCACAGAAGTCTTGCCCAACAATGCATCTAGCAACAGTCTTCTTGCCTTTGAAGCATCCATCCCCATGACAGGAGAACGCTGCACACACTTTCCCCTACAAGAGATAACCAGAGACACTGTATATTCATCATTCCAGAAAGTAGGACTTCCAGGACAGGAACTGAACTTCACACAGCTGCTTTCCTGAGGACTCCTTTCTCTGGAGCTCAGACATCACAGTAGCTGCAGCTGTGTCTGCCCAGCAGGTACCTACGTTTCGGGGTGGGGCTCGGGTGGTGGTGGTGGTGGTCATAGGCAGCATGGTGGTGTATGGCAGGTCACCTGCAGACACGAGGAGCCCTGTGAGCTGTGCTCAGCACACACAAGGAACAGATATACCAGCAGGACTCATGCTGCAGCTGGAGCTGTTGGGCCACCCCTTTCCCCCACCCCAGTGCAGAGCTGTGGCAATGCAGCCATGGCCAGCCCCCCGCAACGGGGTTATGCCCACCCGCCTCCCTCCTGTGCAGCAGGATGAGCCTCGGTCCGCAGTTACCATAGGAGCTGGCGTTGAGCTGCAAGCAGAGCGAGGAGTTGCAACAGTCCAGGGAGCAGGGCCGGGTGCCCTGCCTGCTGTGGTTCCGGCACGGCTCAGTGCCACAGGCACTGCTGCATCGGGCTGTGTAGTTGGTGCTGGAGAAACGGTAAAGCTGCAATAGCAGAGCCAAAAGAAAAAATGCTGGGATTGTGAAGCAATGCCATTATAGAAGAGCAAAAATAACTGACAGACTGCAATAGAGGAGTAAAACAGGACGTTGACACAGCCTTTAAACAGAGTACTGTGGATTCCAGAAAAAAAGAAAGGGAGAATAGACTTCCCCTGTTACAGTCCTCCTCTGCCTTGATCCCAGCGAGCTCCATACCTCGCAGTAAGTCTCATTATGGCAGATCACTGTGTTGTTGTCATGGGCTTCATCCTGGTAACACCTCTCCCTGAAGCACTGAAAGCTCTGGCAGGTGAGCTGGAGGGAGAATACACCAGGGTGTCACTGTGCAGTAAAGCCTCCTCACATGACACCGTGGTGCTGTGCCTAACCACAGCCTTGTTGTCAGGAGATACTGTCCCTGTGCAGCCACCCGCCATGCCCGAGAGGCTCCCAGCTCCCCTCCACCCATGGAGATGCTCTCATGGGACTCCTGGATCCTGATACCGACCAGTCAGGCTGTAATAGCACAGCCAACAGCCCTCTTTCCTTACCGGTGTTTCTTCTTTACTGTTCACAGAGGTGTTAGCAGTGACCACCGAGGAGGCATTGGCAACCACTGAGGGGGCGCTTGTGGCCACAGAAGCTGTGCTGGTGGCTGCTGCGGAGTTGCTGACAGCCACCAAGGTAGCATTGGTAGCCACTGAGGTGGGGCTGGCAGCCATGGAGGTGGTGTGGGC